GAATTCCTTGGCTGGCTGTACTTGCACTCTTGAGTTTTTAGGGAATATTTCTATTATTGTGATTTTTATAGTAAAATTCACTTTATACTTTTCCTGGGATTTTTTCTTGTGTTAAAACCATAAGAAATCCTCTTGGATTTACCTTTAACTGCTTGGCATAATGTGATTTATTTAATGGATATAACAGGATGTATTTAATGGATAATGGATAGAATATAAGATACTTAAGGGATATAAGATATTTAATGGAATATATTTAAGCAATATACTATGGGATATTTAAGGGATATAATGTAAGATATTTAATGGATATAATGGAATATATTTAAGCAATATAATATGAGATATTTAAGGGATATAAGATATTTAAGGGTTACAATATGGGATATTTAAGGGATATAATGTAAGATATTTAAGGGATATAACAGAAGATATTTAAGGGATATAATCTAAGATACTTAATGGATATAATGGAATATATTTAAGCAATATAATATGGGATATTTAAGGGATATAATATGGGATATTTAATGGATATAATGGAATATATTTAAGCAATATAATATGAGATATTTAAGGGATATAATATATTTAATGGATATAATAAAATTTATTTAATGGATATAATAGAATGTATTTAATGGATATAATATAAGATATTTAAGGGATATAAGATATTTAAGGGATATAATGTAAGATATTTAATGGATATAATGGAATATATTTAAGCAATATAATATGGGATATTTAAGGGATATAATAGAAGATACTTAAGGGATATAATATGGGATATTTAAGGGATATAAACTAAGATATTTAAGGGATATAATATAAGATATTTAAGGGATATAATGGATATATTTAAGCAATATACTATGGGATATTTAAGGGATATAATTGTAATAGATTTTATTTATTTTTACTATTAACCTATTTATTATTAATGTGTTTTTTGTAATTAGGAAAGAAAAAGCTGTAGGGAAAACAAGTGAGAAGGTCAAAAACTTCATTCTTTCCTAGAAATATTCCCAGAAAAAAAGAGGAAGACAATAAAACTCAGCTTTTTACATTTTAATTTATTTTTACAAATAAACGACTTTTTATATTTTATTCCTTTATATTTCTTTGTATATTCCTTTATATTTTATTCTTATTTAAATTTAATTTATTTTATTATTTATTTTATTATTATTTATTTCTTTTATTATTATTTCTATTTTATTATTATTTCTATTTAATTTATTTTATTTCATTAATTTTATCATTATATATTTTATTATTATTTATATTTTATTATTTCTATTTAATATATTTTATTATTTATTTTATTATCATTTCTTTCATTATTATTTATATTTTATTATTATTTCTAATTTCTATTATAATTTATTTCTTTTATTATTACTTCTATTTTATTCTTATTTCTATTTCATTTATTTTATTTCATAAATTTTATTATTATATATTTTATTATTATTTATATTTTATTATTATTTATATTTAATTTCTATTATAATTTAATTCTTTTATTATTACTTCTATTTTATTATTATTTCTATTTATTTTATTTCATTAATTTATTATATATTTTATTATTATTTCTATTTTATTATTTATATTTAATTTATTTTATTATTTATTTTATTATCATTTCTTTCTTTTATTACTATTTATATTTCATTATTATTTATATTTAATTTATTTTATTATTACTTATTTTATTATAATTTATTTTATTATTATTTATATTTTATTATTATTTACATTTAATTTCTATTATTACTATTTCTTTTATATTTATTTATTTATTTTATTATTCTTTACATCTTAACTTATTCCTTGGATCAAAACCAACCTTTCAAATCCCCTTTTCCCACTTTTCCTCTTCCCAGGCCAAGTTCGAATCCCTTTTCCGACCCTACGACCGGGAAATCACCTTCCAGTATTTCAAGAGCTTCAAGAGGGTCCGGATCAACTTCAGCAACCCCCTGTCTGCAGCTGATGCCAGGATCCAACTGCACAAGACAGAATTCCTGGGAAAAGAAATCAAACTCTACTTTGCCCAGGTAAAGCTTCTCCTGGTTTTTCTTGGAAGCACCTGGGAATTCCGTCACTTCCATGGTTTAGAGGATCCGGGTGGTCCCAGAGCTCCCTGGGGATTGTGGGAGGAGCTGTTGGGATTTTGGGTTTGGATCCCTGTGGATTGCTTGGATAACCTTGGAGGTGATGGGAATCAGGATTTCAGGGATCCAAGAGGGAGAGCTGCACATTCCAGGTTTTTCCTGTGCAACCTGTTCTTGGAGATATCCATGGGAGATCCCAAAGGAACTCTGGGAATCGGGGTGGGGTTTGGGAGCTGCTCCTGTTTCCCTCTGGAAATTGAATGGGAAGATGAATCCCTGTGTGGGAAAAGGAATTCCTGTGTGGGAAAAGGAATCCTGGTACAGGAAAATGAGTCCTTGTGTGGGAAAAGGAATTCCTGGGTGGGAAAAGGAATTCCTGGGTGGGAAAAGGAATTCCTGGGTGGGAAAAGGAATCCCTGTGTGGGAAAATTAATTCCTGTATGGGAAAACAAATCCCTGTGAGGGAAAAGGAATCCCTGTATGGGAAAAGGAATTCCTGTATGGGAAAATGAATCCCTGTGAGGGAAGATGGATCCTTGTGTGAGAAAAGGAATTCCTGTGTGGGAAAAGGAGTCCCTGTGTGGGAAAAGGAATCCTTATGTGCAAAAAGGAATTCTGTGTGGGAAAAATGAATCCTTGTATGGGAAGATGAATCCTTGTGTGAAAAAAATGAATTCCTGTGTGGGAAAAGGAATCTCTGCATGGGAAAATGAATCCCTGTGAGGGAAAATGAATCTTTGTATGGGAAAATGAATCCTTGTGTGGGAAAGGAAATTCCTGTGAGGGAAAAGTAATTCCTATGTGGGAAAAGGAGTTCCTGTATGGGAAGATGAATCCCTGTGTGGGAAAAGAAATCCCTGTGTGGGAAAAGGAATTCCTGTATGGGAAAAGGAGTCCCTGTATGGGAAAAGGAATCCTTGTGTGGAAAGATGAATCCTTGTGTGGGAAAAGGAATCCTGTGTGGGAAAAGGAATCCTGTGTGGGAAAAGGAATTCCTGTGTAGGAAAAGGAATTCCTGTGTGGGAAAAGGAATTGCTGTGTGGGAAGATGAATCCTTGTGTGGGAAAAGGAATCCTTGTATGGGAAAAGGAATCCTTGTGTGGGAAATGAATCCCTGTGTGTCCATTTGGGATGTCCCAGTTCATTTCTATCCCTCTGGGAATTCCCACCACTCTCACTTGTGGCAGTGCCTTCCCACCCCATTTGTCATTAAAGGCCAGATCCAGCTTCCTCCCACTTGGGGATTTTATGGGCAGATCTGTAAATAAAATATATTAAAATTAAAAAAAAAATATTTTAAGGGAAACCAGGGAATTTTAAGGGAACTTCCTTGGAAATTTCCTGGGAATGGGATGTGGGGGCTTGGCCGTGGAATCCTGGCTGGTGCTGCCACCCCGAGTCCCTGGCAGAGAACAACAACACCTCTCCCAACCTTAAAACCCCTCCTGAATGACAAATTCCTGGATAATAATGACACAGCTTGGCCTTTCCTGCCTTTTTTTTTTATTCCCAGACTTTGCACATTGGAAGCTCCCACTTGGCACCTCCGAATCCAGACAAGCAGTTCCTGATTTCCCCTCCTGCCTCTCCGCCCGTGGATTGGAAACAAGTGGAAGATGCAACTCCAGTCATCAACTATGACCTTTTATATGCAATTTCCAAGTTAGGACCAGGTGAGAAGGGGGAAAAAAACAGGATTGGGAGGGAGGAAAACACCCTTTGAACTTCCTGAGCTTCCCAAACTTTTCCAGGGAATCGTTATCTCCCAGTTAAACTTGTAACGTCAGAGAAACTCTGATTAGAAACAAGAATTTCTTACACGTGTGGTAATTCCAAAGGATTCCTTGGAGCACCCAGAGCTCCACAATGGGATTTGTTGAGGGCACAAATGTTGCTTCAATTATTGTTCATTAATATTTTTATATCTTTTTAATATTAATAAATATTTTTAAAGCAGCAGCTTCCCAAAAATGAAAAGGGGGAAATTAAGGATTTCCACCCTTTTTAGAGGGATGGGAAAGTCCTGGCTCAAGACTAAGCCTGACCCAGCTCAAAGCTGGGCTTAAATTCCTGTCTGGAATACTGGGAGGAGGAAACCACTGCTAAATGTGGGAGAAAACCTAATATTCCTTGGAAATTAGGAGGAAAAATTTCCTGCCATTCCTTTTTTTTTTTCAGTGATGAACGATCCCATTTCATTTTCTCCCTGGGTCAGTACAAACTTCTCACTGAAAATTGCTGCAAATTAATATTTCCCCCCAATCTAACTCTGATTTATTGTTGATTTTAGGGGAGAGAAAAATGGCTACAGGATTAAAGGGAATAAAATTTAATTCTGGTTCATTTTTTTATTGGTGGATTTTAATTCCTCAGTTTAGGGAACACTCCTTGTTATGTTCAGGGGAGAAAAGGGCAGGGCAGAATTTTGGGTCCTTCCTGTAGGACTTTAAAATCTGTCCATCGAGGATCCTGCTGGTGAAATAAATAGTTTTAAATTAAATTACCTATTTTTTTAATCAAAGATTTTATTTTCCTGGAGCCGGTTTTGGAAACAAAGTTGATTTGGATGGAACATGTTGAATGAATATATAATATATATTCATTATATATATATATATATATATATTCATTATATATATATTTTCATTATATATATTCATTATATATTATTCATAATATTATAAATATTATTTATAAATTTTTAATATAAATGATTTTTATATATTTTTATCTTTATATATTGTAATATAATAATATAATAATATAATATAATGTGATATAATAATATAATG